CAGAAAGTTTTCATTGCATTTTTACTTTCACTACTCCTAAATAACGATTAAAAATCCGAAATATGACATATAATACGAAACCTATAAATGCAACAGAAATCGCTGCTAGTATAAATATTAAATCAAAATTATAATAGACGATAAATCCTAAGTTTCTTCCAGCCACTTTCAGCTCCGGTATATCGCCGAATTCTGCGGCCATTTCAACAGTTTTTACCAGTTTCTCTTCGGGACTAAACGGCCGTTGTGACAACAGTCGGCTGATTCGGTCGGCTGCTGTTTGGTATCTGAAATCATAGAATGGTGTTCTTGCAATAGCCACATTCTGCAGCTCAGTGTATGTAGCAGATCGGCGTTTACGACTCAATAACGTTGGAAATGCACCATCACTCACTTAGAGTCGGTAAGAATTCGTTCGACGGCACTGTGCAGCACATTGCTGTTGAGAAGGCGAGCTTTCTCCAGAAGAATACCTAAAAAGGATGAAGCGTAAATTAAACTTGTACAAAAATGCGCTACGCTACTACGTTCATTCACAGTAATAGCGATATTTTTATGAGATAGACTAAATCGCAAAAGTCAGCTGATGTATAAGGTTTATTTTATAAACCTGACAGTACGTTTGTTATCAGCCAATCGACAACCGATTAGATGGAAGGCCTGCTGATTAGAACTGGCGAGATATAATTCGGGATTTGACTATTGCACACTAAGCGTGGAAAGCTTATTCACTTGACGCCATTCTAGCTCCACCCCAGCGGCCTGCAGAAGCTTCTAAACTCTCTAAAGAAAATGATCTTTTTTTTTCAAAGAAAGCACTGATGGTGAGCTATGAATGGATTTCCTTCACATGACATAGTTGCTTTTTCAGAACAGTGTTTCTTTATTACAGGCTGAGGAGCGATTTTAGACCGCTGGCAAGATGCGATGGTTACTTTTAAGCAAAAAGCATTCTGGCGGAGGAGGAGAGATCTGCGCGCTCATTACCTTGTTTGAGGGGGGACACTCAAAACAGGGCACTTGAAACCCTAGGTAGGTAATACTGGGGCCAAGCCCAGGAGAGAGGAGAAACGCCAGGAAGATAGAGTTTGCTCACGTCCTTCCCCAGAAACCCTTCCCCTCCTAAAGTTTAGTAAGTATGTTCCTCGAGTGACTTATTCACTTCAATGTCTCTCCCCCGCCCCAACGGCATTAGCGCCCAGATCTATGTAGATTCCAATAGTATGGTGTAGCACGGCAGCGTTGCTCTTGAAATCTCTAAATATGAAAGCGCGCAATTCAAAAGCCGACGCTGACTTGGAAGGGTGCAGCTGTGAGCTCTCCTTCCATCGGGAGTATGCAGCTCTGTGGGCAGTGTGCCAAAAATAAAACCAAGAGCTGTACAAACAACATTTTACAACTTGGATACAAATGCCACTGCCTTAAAGGACGAATTCACGATGAAAAAGCAACCCATTTCAAATTAACCTAGGGATGGTGAGTGGTACACGAAAGAAGGAAGAACCATGAGAAACGGCCCAGAACCCGAGAAATGGGACCCCTTCCTTGCCCGTTGATTTGAGCATTGATGCGACTCTCATCGCTGTGCCCTCTTCAACACTACGCTCTCTCAGCTATCTAATCACTCGCCACGTATTGAACTACGGCGAGTGATCAGATGATCGGTGGGCGGAGATCGCCGACCCGCCAGCTTTGAGGCATGATAGGTCGCCGAGGTCAAATTTTTCCATGCGAATTGCGCGTCAGTTCGCACCCTCAGGAGGTCCGTGGGTCCCTCAACTAGGTCAGTTTCCCTTTCTTCGACCTTCATTCTAATCGTGAATTCCTCCTTTAATGTGATCTATACGATTTTATTACTGAGGAGATGTTGGAAGAGCTACTCGAAGCAATCCTAAAAAT